TTTTTTTTTTTTTTTTCCGTTTCCGCCCGACAGGCAGCGCGCGGCGGGGGGCGGGGCCCGCCCCTCTTTTACCGCCCCTGCCTTCGCAGCCGCGCGCTGATTGGCTCTTTGCCCCCCCTAATTTACATCTTGCCCACCTGTCCCTGCGGCGGCCGGTTTTTCCCTAAAAATGCCTTTTTCTCCCCATTTTCCAAGTTCTGCCGCTCCGCAGCGCTGCCTGTAGCGGGGATCGCCCTCCTTATGCCGTCGCGCCGATAAATCGCTGCTCTGTGCGCGCACCGCAGCCTCAATGAGCTCCGCAGTGCTGCGCGGTGGATTCTGGGAGCGTTTCGCCTTTCATTGCCGCTCACGACCGCTGTTAATCAGTTTTACGCGCGTTACCCATCGATTGACTGGGCTGCGAGGCCATAAACCCTCCTTACGCCAATTACCGACGCTCAGTCCCTCCCAGCGCTCATTAACGGGCAGTGCCGCGGTAATTAATCGCTCATCCGCCGCCGTTTATTTCGAATTGGGGGTCGGGCGGGGGGCGCGAAGCGCTGCGGCCGCCAGGGGGCGCTGCGGAGCCGTCATTCGTCCCATTCGTCCTCGTCGTCCTCGTCGCCGTCCTCGCCTTCGTCTGTGGGGGGCGGGGGGGTCAGGGGGGCAACCGCCTTGGTTCGGGGGGGGGGAATGGGGTGCCTCACCTGAGGAGTGAATGACGCGGCTCCGCTTCTGCATCACGTCCATCAGCGCGCCCACCAGCCCTCCCGCCGCCCCGCCCCCGGCGCCGCCCTCGGGGGCTTCGGGGGTCTGCGGGACGGAGCGGAGGTCGATCAGAGCGGAGCCCGCGGGGAGCCGCACCCCGACCAACCGCACTCCAACGGGCTGCCCCTCGGCCCCCCCTCCGCCTTTGTGCCCTCGGGGCGTTACGGCCCCCCCGCGCCCACCCCGGGGCACCGCAGCCCCTCCCCACCTTGTTCAGCGTCACGCCCTGCCGGATCTGATCCAGGAGCGCCCCCCGCGCGGGAGGGCCGCCCACCATGGAGGGGCTCCCGCTGGGGGGGGGCAGAGGTGGGGGCGGAGGGGGCGGAGCCACGGAGGCGGCGGCGCACGGGGGGGCGGGGCCTCGAGGAGGGGGCGGAGCCGCGGGCCGAGGGCCGGAAGCCGGGCCGGGCCCCCCACGTGGAGGGGGCGGAGGACCCCCGGACGGTGGGGGGGGAGGCAGCGGCCCGCCGCGAGCCCGTGGGGGTCCGGAGGGAGGAGGGGGAGGAGGTGGGGTGCCCCCTCTGCCTTGTGGGCCTGCAAGGAGAGGCATTGATTGCGGTGTTAATGGTGCCGTAGGCACCCGCAGGGTGGCTCTGTAGGAAGGGGGGCTCTGCGCGGCTCACCCTGGCGCCGCATCTCCTCCTTGACGGCCTGCAGCCCCCCCTGCCCCTCGATGAAGTCATAGATGAGGCGTGAGGTCTCAGCGTCTGCCAGCTGCGCCTCGCTGATGCCAGCCCGTGCGAACAGAGCCCGCAGGTCGGGGTCCAGCGCTGCTGTCTGCACCCACACGGCTCCTTAGGACCCCTGTGCTCCACATGAGGGGTTCCTCACAATGCTCCCCCCACAGCCCATACATACATCAAAGCCGTTGGCGGGATCCCAGCCGATGTGGCCGACGTGCCTGGGGGACAGAGGGGCTCAGGAAGTGCCTCGCATCTCCCCCAGCCCCACATTTCCCTCTTACACATGCCCAGATATCACCCCATCAGCCCCACATCACCCCCCCATACTCACTTGAAGCCAGACGGGGCTCCGATGTCGGCCTTGGAGATTTTCTTGCGGCCCTTCTTGCGCTCGCTGCCCGCTGTGGGGCTTCCTGCTGTGGGGCCAGGCAGCCCTCGGTAGCGGGAAGCTGTGATGTCAGGGTTGGCGATGGGCACAGCTGGCAACGATGGAGCTGCGGGAGCAGCAGAGGGGGTTTGTGGGTTTGGGGGCCTCTCCAAGGGTAAAAAAGCCTATGGTGTAGGAAGTCCCCAAGCTATGGGGCAGGCACTCACCACTGCTGTCCATAGGGGCCGGGGGGGGCCGGGGAAGGCTCCCACGACGCTCTGCATTGGAGGGGATCGGTGTGCACTCCGTGCCCCCCCTCACCCGCTCCTGTGCCCCCCACCCCAACCCTGCTCCCCAACCTACACGAAGGGTGGGACTCACCATCGCCAGGAGGCGGCGGGGGTGGGAGCTGCCGGGTCTCTGTAAGGAGAGGGGGTGAGCAGAACGCTGTGGAGCCTCGGGGCTCTGCATCCCCCCCCATTTACTCACCTGCTCGCTGCTGCCGCCGCCGCAGCCTCTCCTGCACCCGCTCCTCAAAGGCGGCCGCCTCAGCCTCATCCGCGAAGTTCAGTCCCGCCTGGCCCTCCTGTGAGGCCCCGCCCCCTGCGCTTTAGCCCCTCCCGCAGCCAGCAGCCCCCACCCACCGACCACGCCTGAACACCTTGAGCCCCACCCGCCCGCCTTTAGCACCACCCTGCCCATAGCTCTGACCGGACACGGTCAGCCCCGCCCACAGCCCCCTTAGCCCCGCCCAGATCATCTTAGCCCCGCCCATAAGATCTTGGCCCCGCCCACAACCCATCGTCCCGCCCACAGCCCCTTGCTCACACCCACAGCCCCTTAACTCCGCCCAGATCCGTAGCCCCGCCCACACACCCGTAGCCCCGCCCACAGCCCACGACCCCGCCAGAGCCTCTTAGCCCCGCCCACACCTCCATAGCCCCGCCCACACCTCCATAGCCCCGCCCTCTCCCCGAAGCCCCGCCCCTCACCTCGCAGCTCAAGGTGTGGAAGAAAGGCATTGCAGCTCCGTACCCCATCTGCGCCTGCAGCTCCTGCTCCCACAGCAGGCGGCCGGCCTGGGGGGGCGGGGGGGGGGGCACAGCCGGAGCTCAGCCTCCCCACAAACACCCCCACCCCTCAGCCCCCCCCCTCGATGGGCCTCCCTCCCTCCGCTGCCCCAGGAACGGCCGCCACAGCGCGGTACCCCAGAACGAGACCCCCCCCAAGCAGTGACACCCCCACACAGCTCCGCTCCGAGTGCCCCCCCAGCCCGCCCCACTCACCCTCAGCCCGTACAGGCGGATGAAGTAGGAGCGCCGGCTGCTGTCCCTCACCAGGCAGGCGACGCCGCAGCACCGCTTGGCCCAGGACCCCCCCGCGCCCCCCCCCGGCTCTGCCAGCACCAGCTGCACCACGGCCGTCGCCAGGGTCTGAGGAAGGGATGAGTGGGGATGGCGGATCCCACAGACCCCCCCAGTGACCCCCCCAGTGAGCGTACGACCCCCCCCATCCCCATCCCACGACCACAAAGGACCTTAAAAACCCACAACACCC